CCCTAGAGGGGGCGCACCCTCCTCCCCTCCTCCTATAAATAGTGAGGCCTAGGGGCTGCCCATAACGCGATTTGATCTCTCCCTGTTGGTGCAGCCCTCCCTCTCTTTATCCTCATATCTCGCGGTGCTTGGCGAAGCCCTGCTGGATCACCATGCTCCTCCACCACCACCACGCCGTTGTGCTGCTGCTGGATGGAGTCTTCCTCAATCTCTCCCTCTCTCCTTGCTGGATCAAGGCATGGGAGACGTCACCGGGCTGTACGTGTGTTGAATGCGGAGGTGCCGTCCGTTCGGCACTAGGATCTCCGGTGATTTGGATCACGACGAGTACGACTCCTTCAACCCCGTTCTCTTGAACGCTTTCGCTTAGCGATCTACAAGGGTATGTAGATGCACTCTCCTTCCCCTCGTTGCTGGTTTCTCCATAGATAGATCTTGGTGACACGTAGGAAAATTTTGAATTTCTGCTACGTTCCCCATCAGCTTCTCCTTTCGGCTCTTCTAACATAGGAGTACTTTATACTCAAAGAAGGCATGACCGGGCGTATTTAAAAATTGTCGATGTGTCAACTCTGTCTGGTATATGATATCCTTCACATAATTTCGCGTACATTCTCTTCCTCTTGATAAATTTACATCATGAGTACTACCATAGGATCTACCCCTAATAATTTGTTGTCGCCATGATGACAACAAATCTTGTGATTTTATTTTGGAATCAGGCCGTTCATTTGGGATAGGTGACTTTAGTCGAATTGTATCCTTAAGTATTATCTTTATCTTGAAGAATCATATTTCCTTTTTAGCGAATAATAATATAGAACCAAACAACATGTGCAAATTATCTCTATTTATTCATGCAATTCACTGGTTTGGTAGCTCATTTGAGTATGGACGCTCACATGTTAGGGCAACAAGGGTATTCACCTAGAGACCTCTCACCTATATATGAGGCCTAATCAATTGTACATGGTTACATTGCCCCTACCAAGCAATGTAGCTATTACATTCGATGAGTTTTCGAAACATCTTGTCAAATACATGAATAATGGTAAGTTAGGTTAGTTTCTATTGGTTAGTGGTCAAGTGGTGTTTTGAGTTTACTTTCACAAACTAGACATGCTACATTCGCCATATGGAAATTAAACCATGTGAAAAGACAAGAATTATCCATTCAAATGAACACACAAACAATGCCAAGTAAGAAAGGCTACATGCCGGAATCTAAAGACATACCCGTTGTGGACAACTCATACATCTGAAACTAGGATTTTGTTCTATTAGCATGTATTGTATTACTAGTTAGACCTGTGTACTGTAGAAACATCTAACAAGATATTTATAGACATTACCAAAGGCGCTCACACACGCAGACACACATACAACCTATTGTACTAAATCTATGTGACACAAGCTATTTCATATGTGAATTTGCCATTCTTTCATGGTTTATTTTATTAATAGGTTGGATTCAAGTTCACGGAATGATCTAGCATAAAATTTTAAAAAAATAGCACAATTTCATAATAAAATAGAGTTCTACATTAATATTTCTATATTTATAATTATAGAATTTGAGTTTTATATCCATAAAATTCCGAGCTTAAAACATTCTTAATGCTATTATGTGGTAACCTTTGTTATATATATAGTTCAATGATTGTTCCAATTATATGAAAAATGTATTGGTTAAAAAGCTAGCATAGATATAATGGTGGTGACTTATAACGAAGTAAAGAAAATTATTATAAATAGGCAAGAGCCCATTGTGAATGATATATTCTCTCAATGTAATTTCCGTTCTAAAGGGTAAATAATTCAAAATTCATGAATTTAGTAGCTTTTGAATAATCTTTTGGTTTTGAAGAAGTATGATACTTGAGTAGAGTCAACCCCTAAGCAAATGGATGATAGTTATGCCGCAATTATGTCTTTTTGCGGGAAAATTTTCATATTGTGATTTTTTATATTTGATTTTAATAGAACTTGAGGATTTAACTGTTATCTTATTTGGAGAAGCACATTAAACCATAAAGATTATGTATACAAAATAAACATCAACCATTTGTAAGTCTCGATTTATTCTCTAATTTCTTATATCCCTACCTAGTTCCGCTAAGGTTCTGATCTTGCTGACCTCAAGCAGGGGCAGATCTATCATGGAGCATGGGTGTACATATATACACCCTATTCTTTACAAAAAAATAACATATATAGGTGTACATACATATATGACAGAAATATCAGCCTAAAGGCCTAATAAACCCAGTTTAGTAGCAGCCCACTAGCCCGCAAAAGGCAGCAAATTAGCTACTTTACTGTCCATGCATGCACACATGAGGCTCACGTAGCCAGAAGCCAGCTTTGCCTCAAAAGAAAAAGCCATCCAGCCAGCTAGAGTGTCACTTATTACGGATATACGTAGAGATGAGGTGTTTACATTGGTCAAGCTGTTCAAAATGGTCCTAATATTACCAGTAGCAATAGCGAGTGTTGAGAAAAGATTCTCTCATCATTGACATTTGTGAAGAACAATCTACATGACAATTTATATTTCATATTTCTATTACAATTAACCAATTGGATTCTCTATTAGGGAGCAAAAAATATTTTGAACACCCAATGTTGAACTCCTAGATCCACCACTGACCTCAAGGGTTTCATAACTATTAGATTAACCTAAAACAATCATCTCGATCATTTTTTTCTTCTGAAATCAAGTAGATCATAGTATATATTTAATTTATCTTCTTTAGGAAATTGACAAGTTAGACCGTCAAAAACTAATCAGGAGAAAAAATATTTTGAAATCTATTGGAAATATAGCATTAAAATATGTTATAGGAGTGCACATTATCTCGTAAAATGAAGAAATGATGGCGTTGATATTGGTGCAATTGACTATGACAAATATGTAGTTAAGAAGCACAAATCAGTCTTGACAAGGAAAAAGTTGCATTTGAGAATGACAAAGATGCAGTCACCCAAGTCTGCATGTGTCAAATGTATCATCTCAATTGCATCACGTGTCTCGACTATATCATGTGCTTATTGCACCACGTGTTTACTGATCTTGCATGTTTACTATATCTCACATGTTTGGAGCACTTTATTTGTTTATTGTATAATGTTTACTAGTTAAGGAAGTACTAAACATTTACTAGGGAGTCATACTTGTAAACAGAGACAAACATTTGCAACTCAATATATGTGAAGTACATGCACCACAATGAGATTGAACATCTAGATACCAAGGACTCCGATGAGCATAACTTACTTCCAAGCTTTCGATTCACCCTGCCATTTTATGATTTTATCGTGATGGGTGTTTTATTTTTCTACAGGCATACATCACATCTAGACCAGCCTAATCATGGACCTTTCTTGTAGTAGTTAATTTAAGGCAACCAACAACTGGTAGAGAGAAGTTACGATGAATAGGACACGATATACTAGTCTGCAAGTTGGCCAACCTGAGCCTTGCAAAAGATAGCAAAAAAACAAGTCGAAGGAGAAGAAGAAAAATGAAGAATATGAAAACATTAGTGATTGTTTCCTTTTTTATTTGGGAATAAGACAACCAAATAAAATGACGGCCTGATGAAAACATCGTCGAGAGATAATGTTGTTGTGTGGGTTCTCTAGACAATTGTTTTGGCAGCGGAGCTCGAGTGCTTTCTTTATTTTGAAAAGAAACACAAAAAATAAATATGTACATGTGTCATAATTAATAACTATCATGTAGATATGAGAACACTATGGATGGATGAGCAAAAATAAATATGGATATGTTTTGGCAGCGGAACGGGAGAAGCATTATCACCGAGCTTAGAGGAAGAAACAAAGCATGGTGACCCAAAATTTTAAATTTAAATATCATCTTCATTGCTTGCTATTTTGCATCACCATATTTGTCGTGTTTGTGCAGGCGGCTTTCGAAAAAAATCATAATATCTAGCAGGTGGCTTGCAGTGCATTCTAGTACAAATACTTTGGATCTTTTAACTTATAATTTTTTTGAATATTTCTAAAATTAAAGAGCTTACTGGAGCTTGGCTGCTAAAATTTCGTGCTCGTGCATTCCGGCATAATACGAAGAAACTAAAAAACAGCAAAAAATGCAGTCATCTACTACATGTGATTGCACTCAAGAACAGAAAAGACTAAAATGTTGGTGGCTTGGTTATTTGCAACACAACACCATAGCCGACTGATGTCCCAGGGTAAAAGAGGGGATTTATTCGAGAGAAAACTCACAAGAGGAGAGATGATCGGGATGGGGGTGTTGTGCCACATTGACGGTCCAGGAGAGCCCGTGCGTATCTAACAATTTGTCACTTAAGAGTTGTTTATTGGGATCCACTAGCTTGTGCAGCAAAAAAGAACACTAAAGTGTACTTTTTCCTACAACTGTTTTTTTGTTCATGTGGGTGATGCTGTTTGTAGTGCAAAGTGGTTGCCATCTGGTCAGAGCTTTTGGTGACTCGTGATGGTGGAGAGAAAGAACTAGCTGCTCGTGTCGTCTTCCGTCTAAAGCTTCTAAACAACTGGAGATGAAACAAAACGGGCAGAAGATTGCCCATGCCATGCCACTTTACAGCTTGCAAAGTGTGGATGCATTCTCATGGCACAAACAAGCAACAAAAATGGTACCTCATCGTTTAAACATCTACTGATTCTTTTATAGCATGGCTTTGTTATTTTAGCTACATAAAGACAATCCAAATAAAGGAAGGAGGCAAGGTAGGTGCGCTCTGCCTCCTGAGGAGGTAGGGCTGCTGTTGAGGAGGGCAATGGCGCCTTGCTACAACCGGCGCCAAGGTCATCCAGACTACGCGTAGCGCAGGACAGTCGACAAGACTAGTTGCAGCAATATATATGGATAATGACTTTGTGAAAACGATTAGGTTTGAACACTTCCTGAGAGAGAGGCTAGTGTAAAGGCGGAACTGTATGTGTTGTTTATTTATCAATGTCAGTAGACCGTGCAAGACCATATAATGGCATAAAGATATGTCCCTTTGACATAAGCAGATATTATCACACGAGTTCTATGCACAAGAACTACACATCTAGGTACAAAGGAACCAGATCATCGGAGATTAAGAATTGACATGTTAAAAACATATCCTAGTAATCCAGAGGTACGATGGCCCAAAACCCGAAAAGTGGGAAACACAAAAGGAAAGAGAGTAAAACTTTAACAAAAAAGGAGAAAAAGATCAATGCGCAGTGCATAATCATTGTCTTGAATTGCCCTGCATAAGTTTTACTATGATGAAACCGAAGATGGATACCAAATCTCCACGTTCAAATATAATAACCGTGAAACTTGGATTAAATGCATAGGCCATTTTGACACAAAAAGTATTCATATGAAATGGATACGGTTTCACCTTTCTTAGTCACATTAAATGCACAAGCAAGTTAGAGGTTCTATTTTAAAGAGTATAAGAGTGAAACAAATGATTCAAACAAGTGCCTTCACTGAAGATTGTATAGTTAAATACCTTTTCTTCCTCATTCATGTCGCTGGCAGTCTGCTTTGATGATGATAGGAAGGAACATTTCTCGTCGAGTGTGTTCGTTGCTTGATCAAATGCATTAATGTACTGTTCAAATTTATATATTAGGTGAAAATCAAATAAAATGTTGTATTGCTAACCATAATATGAAAGTTTTAGTGAAAGGGTAGATTATTTATCATGCATAGAGAAAAATAACTCCATGTCAACAAAATAAGCAGCCTTCAAATAAATTTTGGAAATGCAATGCCTATTTAAGTATCAAAAATACTACAGATTAGTAATGTGTAAGAATCAAGAAAAATAGTAGGTTAACACATCCAAGATTTGACCATTGTTCCACCGTCAAAAAAAGAGAGAAGATTTGTATCACTGTCTTGGTAATTTCGACAGGACATTTGAGCCCAACTGATTTTCTGCGTTGAGCAATCGATTCTCTGTGTTAGGAGGGACATTTGAGCCCAACTCAGTCCATTATAGGTGGCCAAACTGAAATATAAATGTCATGGATAGCGCCAATTTGATATATACTGCTAATTTTTAGCAAGAAGCTTTCCTTATTTGTGAAACATTACCATCAGAATGACGACTTTCTAACTGAGGATAATAAGGACTTGAAAATATCTCTATTTTGTTTGCATCATTTGCGGAAAATGTTAGTACCCACAAAGCAATTTTGTAAAAGGAATCATGAAACAGATAAATCGAAAACAAGTTTTACACATCACTAGATATTACCTCATTAGCCATATATTTGAAGTAGCTATCACCTCCAAAGGCCATCGTGATGAAGTGAATCATCTGAAATATTGTAACACAATAAGTATATACCTAAAGGGACTAGGACACGTTATCTTCAAGGGCTAGCCAGAGCAATAAGTAAAGGTAGAAAGAATACAGTACTTAGAACTAGATTTTTTTTGCAGGTCGCTTAGAACTAGATAGAACAATTAATTTCAAGAATACTTAAGAAAAATCGGACCTTTTGAAGTGCAATGCCACGATCAATTGTAGGCGAATCATGATCCATGTCCGACATGCCGGAATACATTTCCCATTCCATTAAGAGAAAGGCCATAGTCTTGACGCCAATAGTAGGCTGAAAGTTTATGTGAAAAAAAACTGCTCAGCTGTTTTTTTTGAAACTGTTGTTTGAATAAACAAACACGAAATCGGCTGTACACAAATGGGAATATTTGGACATGCTTACATGGTCCGTAATAGCTGGTTAGTGGTCCTTTAACTAGTTGTGCACATGGAAATGTGATTGCCTATGCTATTTTTTTAATAAGAAGGTTACCCCACCCCCCAGTTATATGGAACTTGTAAAGTAACTA